GGGTCAGGGCCCCCTGGAGAGCAGCCTGGACTCCCTGGGGGATGTCTTCCTGGACTCAGGCCGGAAGACCCGTTCCGCTCGTCGGCGCACCACGCAAATCATCAACATCACCATGACCAAGGTCAGGCTGCTGGGAGTAGGGCTGTAGGACAGTATTGCTCACTTCCTCTCAGGGGCATCGTTCCATCAGATCCTCAGAACAGCTTTGAGAGGCAGGCAGGGCTGACCAGTTCATATCTTTCAGATGGGAAAGCTGAGATCCTGAGAAGGGCATGACTTGCTTAGGCCTCTTTTGTAGAAAGGGGCAGGGCTAGAATTGGCTGCCTAACTGCTGACTCTAGGGCTGGCATCCTCTCCCTGTGTAGCACTGACCCAGTGCAGGATGAAGGGAGAGAATATGGAGAAGTTGCAGCCCAGCCTGTGCCTCCCAGCACATCCCTTGGGTTGCTGAGATGAGTTGTGGTCGCCCCAGTGGGCTGCCTGCCAGGTTGGGGGCTCTGGTCCTTGTTTCCATATCACAAGGAAGTTGGGGAGGAGAGAGATGCCTTTGGTGCAGCAGGGGCACCTCTGTGTACAGGGTGCCCTCTACTGCTAAGAAGTTGGAGGAGTTCTAAAAGATGGTCAGGGCCCTGGCAAGCTTGGGCTGAGGGACAGCGGGGGCTGTGGGATGAGCGGGACTGGCTCAGGAGACATGGGTTCCAGCCCTGGCTCTGCTACTTCTAGCTGTGTGTCCTTTGGGCCAGTCACTTCATTTCTTCACACCTCACTTCTAAAATGGTCTGATACATTTTGCCTTCTTTCCCTCAAAGCATTGTTTGTTAGTAGACTCAATGGAAAAATGGATAGAAAAGAGTCTTGAGAGCCTCAGCACCTTGTGCAGGATTCTGGCAACAAGGCCCATTTCTTGCAGACGTGCAGCTAAGGACCCCTGCAAAGCCGTGTGGGAACACATGCAGATGTGTCATGGGATCTGAGGCGCTTTAAGGAGAGGAACAGGAGGCTGCTTTATAGCCCCCACACCACTGCAACAGATTCTTCCTCTCTTCTAGAAGCTAGATGTCGAGGATCCAGACAGTGCCAACTCATCCTTCTATAGCACGCAGTCTGCCCCTGCTTCCCAGGCTGGCCCACGAGCCACCTCCTCTACCCAGTCTCTAGCCCGCCTGGGCTCTCCTGACGATGGCAACTCAGCTCTGCTCAGCCTGCCTGGCTACCGGCCCACCACTCGCAGTTCTGCTCGTCGCTCCCAGGCCGGGGTGTCCAGTGGGGCCCCTCCAGGTAAGGGGACTGTGGGGACTTACCACACCCAAAGATTAGACTGGAAGCAGATCCTGGCAAAGGGAAGGGACAAGCTTTTAAAAACCCAAGGCTGGGGCCGGCCCCGTGGCTTAGCGGTTAAGTGCGCGTGCTCTGCTACTGGCGGCCCAGGTTCGGATTCCAGACGCGCACCGACGCACCGCTTCTCCTGCCATGCTGAGGCTGCGTCCCACATACAGCAACTAGAAGGATGTGCAGCTATGACGTACAACTATCTACAGGGGCTTTGGGGAAAAAAAAGGAGGAGGATTGGCAATGGATGTTAGCTCAGAACTGATCTTCCTCACAAACAAATAAATAAATAAAATACCCAAGGCTGACTTCCTGGCTCCCTTCCAGCACCTCGCCCACCCCTCCTCAGGGGCCATGCCTATCCATCGAGGGGCTGTGCTGGGCAATCAGGCTGACGTTCATCTCAGCCACGGTGAACCAAAAATGCTCACACCAGGAGTCTGGGATTCCCAGCACAACAGTGATGTTCAGCTGCTGTCAGGAATCCTCCTTGCCCCTTCTCAGGTGGTGAGGGGATGCCACAAGGGCCAGGCTGGCCAGTGTTCTCTCCTCAGATTCTTCTGGGAGGCTCTTGCCCTCACGGTCCCCCTGGCTATCAATTCCTGGCCCTCAATTAGTTTCTTTTGGTGCCACAGCCTGTGCATATGGTCTCTTTTGACCTCCTCAAGGAGAGAGCAGTGAGCCAGCCCCCATGGTAGAAATGGAGTGTGAGCTCTGCTCCTGTCTCTGCAGCACTGAGCAGAGCAGGATTCTGGGGTACTGGGCTTGAAGCCCACACAAGGCTGGCGAGATGCCAGGGCCAGTGGGCGACCTGCTGCCTCTACCTTCACTGCTCCTGGCCTTCCAGCCCCACTTGCTCCAACTTCCCTGCCCTCCACAGGAAGGAATAGCTTCTACATGGGCACTTGCCAGGATGAGCCCGAGCAGCTGGACGACTGGAACCGCATTGCAGAGTTGCAGCAGCGCAATCGAGTCTGCCCTCCGCACCTGAAGACCTGCTATCCCCTGGAGTCCAGGGTGAGCTCTGGGGTCATCTGCACAGGACCTGCCCATCCCGGCTCACCTTCCTCCCTTGGCATTCCACCCCAGTGCTGCCTGCTGAGGAGGGTGACCTTGAAGTCACTGTGGGTGAGCAGGAGCTCGGAGAGGTCTGCTTAGGACTTCTCTTCTATGGCCATGGTACAGGGTACAGGTACAGAAGACGACAGGAAGTGAGGCCTTTTGTGATAGGAAGGCCTCAGCTGCTCCATATTGCCAAGCCAGTGAAGAGTTCTGGGGCATTCCTGCTTCTGCTCCATTTCCAAACAGCCTGGGTCCACTGACCACTTCTTCCACCCCATGCAGCCTTCCCTGAGCTTGGCTACCATCACAGACGAGGAGATGAAAACTGGTGACCCCCGGGAGACCCTGCGCCGAGCCAGCATGCAGCCAACCCAGATAGCTGAGGGTGCTGGCATCATCACCCGGCAGCAGCGCAAACGGGTCTCCACAGAGCCCCACCAGGGCCCTGGCACCCCTGAGGTAGGGAACATTGGCTCCTGTGTTTTGTTCTATCGAGCAGCCTGCCCAGGTCAGGCCCAGCTCACCAAGTTTGAAAAGTGGATTAAAGGGGAGGCTTCTGGCTCAGAGTGCTGGTTGGACAAGTTGACTTATAAGGTCCACTCAGCTCTGAGACACCTGGCTTTGGATGTGAAGTCTTTTTGCCACTGTCTGCCTAACTGTCCCCTTCCCCATAGTCCAAGAAGGCCACCAGCTGTTTCCCACGCCCTATGACTCCCCGCGACCGACATGAAGGGCGCAAACAGAGCACTACCGAGAAGAAAGCACCTCCAGCTATCATTAAACAGGTTAGTCGAGGGCTAAAGGGAGACCCTAGAGCAGCAGGTTGGCCTGGGAAGGTAGTGGGGGCCCCGCTCCCAGTTTGACAGTCCCTTCCCACAGGCTGACCGCCGCCAGTCAATGGCCTTCAGCATCCTCAACACACCTAAGAAGCTTGGGAATAGCCTTCTGCGGAGGGGAACCTCAAAGAAAGCCACATCCAAGGCCTCCCCGACGACCCGCAGTGGAACCCGCCGCTCTCCTCGCATTGCCACCACCACAGCCAGCGCCGCCACTGCTGCTGCCATTGCTGCCGCCACTGCCACCCCTCGGGCCAAGGGCAAGGTGGAGGCGCTGACAGGGGAGGGTTCAACTCTTAGGAAACCCCATGGAAGCGTGGGCACTCCCCCAGACTGCCATGGGGTGGCTTCCAAGGCAGGGCCAAGCTAGACTGCTGGAGGTTGGGGGCTGAGAGTGGGTGCTCCCTGTCTTGGTTAGTTGTTCATTATTGAGAGGAGACGGACAACTCCATTCCTACTGAGAACACCCAGAGCTACTTGGGCACAGCCAGTGACTGGTAACCTGAAGGTAGATGGATCCAGGGCTGCACCAAGGAAGGGGCCCTAATCAGGGATGTACAGGACCAGGAAGAGGTCTTCCTGAGCCAACTGGTGCAGGCTGGCATCACAAGTCTCATCCAGCTAAGTGACCGTCTCCCTCTCTTTCAGGCAAAGCACTAAAGGGCCAGTACCAGTGAGTGGCCCCACCTGTGTCCCCGATGCTGACCTCGCCTGGTCCTTCTCCTTCTACTATCCCTTTCAGTGCCTTCTCTAAGCTCCCAGGCCAACAGTGGCCAAACCCCTAGAGACAGTGATGCCTGCCCACACCCCGGCCTGGTACCTGGACCTTCACTGGAGCCTGCGCCAGGTGAACAGATGTGTCCTGAGTTGGCCTGGGAGGCCTGGAGCCTGGACAGTCTGGGTCCTCTCTCTACCTTGCCTCCTGTGTTTTCTTAAAGTCACTTCATCACAACCAGATTTGAGGTCCTTGGGCCCAGCCAGTCTCCTCTCAGCCTCTGAATCTAGAAGGGACCATTGGAGGAGCAGGCCCTGGTCCCTGCTGCTCCTGGTGGCTGGGTCTGGCAGGGGCCCTTGCTCTTGAAGTCTAGCACTGGGCATTGACCTGGTGGGAGCACCCCGCCCTCTGGATGCCCAGGGCACGGCTGCCCAGAGGATGCTCTTTTCCAGGACAGACAGGCCTATGCCTCGGGGGTGGGAGGGTGACGGAAAGGGGCGGGCGGGGGGCAGCCTTCAGTGGCAACTCATTCCCACCTTCCCCAGACTTGCACTGGGGTGGGATTGGAGTGATGGGAAGGTTTTTAAGGGCCAGGGATGGATCTTTTCTAAATGTTATTACTTGTAAATAAAGTCTATTTTTCTCCCTTGAGTGCTGAGCTGCCTTGATCTGTGTGGGCAAAGAAGAGAAGTCTGGGCTCTTTCAAGCATACCTTTGTCCCTGCTGAGTCTTCCAGACCCACCTACCTTCTCAAATCCCTTCTCCTGGCCCTTCTGGGGCCACAGGATCTTCCCACCCTCTGTTTCTGGCCTCTGCTCCTGAGGAGCATTATGGCCTGTCCTCTTCTCAGGGCCTGTGTCCCCTGAATCTAGTTTTATCTTGAGCTTCTGCATGGCAGTCCCTCTCTTCCCATACTGTCTCCTGGGACGGGCCAACTTCTGTGAGTGGAATGATGGCCTAAATGAGCGGATGTCAGCATGCCTCCATTGAAAAATCATTTATGAGTGCCCATTGTGGGCCCTGCTGGGTATGACAAAGATACAGCTGTGGATCAGAAGCAGTCCATTAGAGGAAAAAAAAAATACGAATACAACATTAAATCAATGCAGAATGTGGCCTGAGCTGAGAGTGCATAGACCTTGACGAACAGGTGGCGTTTCAACCAGGCTTCCAAGTTCACCTGTCAGGATGGTGAGGCAGATGGGACCCAGTGGAGGGCGGGGCTTCTTGAGTGGGGGGCATCACTGTCCTCAGCCCAGCCTGGGAAAGTGAAGGCAGACAAGGATCAGGGCCAAGGGAGAAGGGACATCTCTTGTCACTTTCCTCCAGGCTATGCCTCCCCTGCCTGAGTCCTAAGTTCCTTTTAGTTTCAACCTCAGGCTTGGGGACGTGGGGAATAGTGGGCATTAGCTGGAGCCTGCTCTGGGCAGAGCCCGCCCCTTCCTCCCCACACTGGAGCAAAGCTCCTCTTGTCCCTGGAAACCTTTCCTCGGGTTCCTCACCCAGAACTGGGCCAGGACAACATGACACTGGGCAGTCTGCTCAGGATCCACGAAAACACAGGAGAAGCTGGTGCTGCGCAGGGCGGGGCTCAGCTCCTCCAGCACCAAGGTCCTCCGCAGCTGGGTGCTTGTGCCCCTGCGCTCCCGGCTACAGCAGAGAAGGAAAGGCCATGAGAAGACCGCAGGCGGAGGCCTCCCTCCTGCTGGCCTCCCTGCCACGCCCCTCACCTGGTGCTGCCCTCCCGCAGCCGGCCTGGGAGGTGTTCAATGAAGGAACCATTGCCCAGCCAGTAGAGGATACTGAAGTGGAAGCGGCTGCAGGCAGTACAGGACAAGGTCAGCGTTCCATCTGGAGACACATGCGGCTATTAGCCCTGCCACAGAGCAGACCCTCCCCTCTGCCATGCTGTGGCCTGCCCACCCTGCCCAGCTGCCCAGTTCCCACAATTCAGGAACCTGGAATGCTGCTGTGCACACCACCCAGGTGGTGAACTTAGTCCCTTAAAGGGGACTGTAAGGGAGTAAGCTACAAGGTAAGCCCCGGGGCTGAGCAAGAGGAATTTGGGGATGGGTCCTTGGTTCAGGTGATGACTCCTGAGCTTGTTTCTTCAAGATGACCTTTTTCTAGTGCCCAGCTTTGGTAATTCCAGAAGCTCTAGCTAGGGAGGCAGCACCAAAAGGCCACTGCTCCTCTGAGGTGGCCCGAAGGCAAGCAGGCTCTGAGAGGAGGGGCTGGGCTTTGGAGCACACTGAACTGTCTCCATCCCATTTGATAAGGAGCATCCTGAGAGCTGGGCCTTGTGCGCACACTCACGATTTCTGGGTGGGAGAGGGAGAATGCTGAGTGCTCAGCCAAGCTGGCCTGGGTGGTGGTGGGCTACATGGCAAAAGGGGGTTGGGGGTGCCCAGGAGTCAACCCCATCCTTGGACCCTCTGTCCCCACAGCCCACCCTCTGACCTCTGTGCCCTCCTGGGCTCCCACCAAAATCGCTCCTTACTCAGTGGGACTTCCACTTCTGGCCAGGTCACCTCCAATGCTGGGCACCGCTTAGCTGTTGGGAGCGTTGGTGGCTGGAAGGGGCAGGGATCCTTTGTGATCGCAGCTAAGGCAGTGGTAGCTGTGGTAGCTTGAAGTATAGGTATAGCTCTGACCAGGTAGGAGACAATGTGGATGCACAGGAGCAGGGCCCGCAAAGGGCTGAGGTCTGAGGAAAGGACAGTCACAGAGGTCAGTGGCTGTCTGACTGCCTGGGAACACTTGGCATCCAGGCCTGGATCTTGGCTGGAGGGGTAGTTGCTGCCTGGATGTAACTGGCCCAGAGATTCCTGGGCTCTGCCCAGGGAATTAGAGGGGAAGAAGGGCCCCTCAGCCCCACCTCTTGGCCCTTTTTGAATGGAGCACTTTAGGGTGACTTTAGAATGCAGCCAGAGCCACAGCATCTGGACAGAGGCTGAAAGCAAAAGCACAACAGTTGAGCGGAGTTCACCTGGGGGTTAAGGCTCAGGGCAGGCTGCATCCTCCACTCCGGTCTCAGAACCCACCCCATTCCAACCACCCCATCCACCCATGCACAGCCCCAGGTCCCACCTGGTGTCCAGTTCTGTCTCATGGTCGTGATGCATGTGTCAGGAGCTGGCGTGCCCGGCTCTATATATCCGTGACAACTTCCTCCTCTCTGAGGGATATGGGGGAGGAGAATGGTGAATAAACTACTTCTCCCACATATTCTCAGTGGCTTGCCCAGATCCCTGCCGTACGTGTGGCTCTCTCCTTTCCTTCCTGTGGACTCCACAGTCCCTCCCTGGGTCTGAATTTTTGGAAGGCTGCCACGCACTGCTACTTACTCTGTCCTGTTTGTCCTGTCCATCTGCCCCAATCGACCACTCCCAGAGGACAGGAATCGAGCCTAGGCTGGAGCTCTTTCAGCACTTAGAAACACAGCTGGATGATGATCTAGCAACAGTCTCTCCCCACCCTCACTCCCATTACCTTAACATAATGCTGGTTACTAGACCAATCTAACCCCTTCATTATAGGGATAGAGAAACTGAGGCTCAAAGAGGGCCAGGGACTTACCTAGTCACAAAGGGAGGCAAAGCTGCCTTCACTGCCAGCGCTGGTTCTGGGAAGGGCGGGATATAGTGAAATCCTTCTGGGAAAGCACTGCCCCCTCCCCTCTATTTCACTTTCACTTTTATTCTAACCAGAGAATTCAGAGCAGGCTCTGGGCCACTAACAGAGGGCACACATACATGACAACAGTCTGGACTCAGTCCTCAAGGTTCCTGCATACAGTGCCTCTCCTGAAACCGAAGTTCACAGTGGCCTGGAACCTTCCTGCTACTTCCCGGAGCCCCCTACTCTCCAGATGATATCAGACTGGGGTCTTTAATCCACGCTCAGCCTCACCCTCCCAGGATCACATAGGGTGTGAATTAATGAAAGTCTCTCACAGAACAATTCTTCCGTCCCCACCAAGGGTCAGAACTTTGGTTGTCTACCTTTGCTCTTTAGAGCCAGGCCTTTGCTTCTACATGAGCAGGCCTCCTGCTTCCTCCTTCACATTCACACTGATATTCAAGGAGACAACTCTCTTAGGCACTGGGAATTCCCAACTGGATCACTTTGACTGTTTCAGGCTCAATGTCACACCAGCCCATCCACATCCTGGCCTTTCCCAGGCTCCCTACTCCCCCTAACCATCAACCCAACACCCAACCATCACCCCCACAAATCCTTCTCACTCCTCTCAACCCAGCCCCTTAGCCAGAGCTATAGGTCTAGGTTCACCAGGAAGTCTCGATTCCCCCTACCTGGCTCCCAAGAAGGCTTGAAGAGCGCTCCTTTTCAAATTCCCCCTTCTCGGAACTCCACAGCTCAGCTCAGCTGTGTCTGGCTCCATGCTGAGCCACGCCACGAGCGCTTCCTGGCCTTGTCTGTAGGAACCTCAGAGCCAAGCTGAGAACCTGGAACATAAGCTGAAGCGCTGACCCTAAAAGGAGGAGAGGGCACTTCCCAGGGAAGAGGGGGAGTAGCCCGGCCCTGCTCAAGCAACAACAGAGCTATACAAATATGTCAGTCTGATCGCTGATGGGACAGATGGAGCTGGGGCTGTGGCAGAGCCAGGACTAGGGTGAGGCGAGTGAGGCACTCACTATCAGGGTTGTGCAAGTGTGTGTAGAGGCAGAAAGACCAGGACTGGTGAGCCCATGCATGCATACATCAAGTGTGAAGGACAAGACCTGAGTGTCTAGGGTTTGTGACTTCTGTGATCTGGAGGACGGGAGTGCTGGAGACAGAGCCAGGGAGGCCAGGAGATGGAATTGGGTCTGGAGGATGCGTCAGGAACATCATCTTCTGCAATCCCAAGGGGTTTTTTTGTGGGAAAAATAGACTCATATTCCTAATTCAGCTGTAGGAGACTACAAGTCACATCCTCTTCTCCAGGGCTCTAGCTGACGTTTTCCTCCCACCCAGGAGCTCCTAGTCACATCCTCTTCTCCAGGGCTCTAGCTGATGTTTTCCTCCCACCCAGGAGCTCCTAGGCTGCAAGTCGGAGGGCAACTCCTCCCTGGGAACACGGGTATCTCCAGCACTTAGGTCAGGAGGCAAGGCCACCTGGGGCTTCTGAGAGAGACAGTCCTTTGGGGGATGGGGGTAGGGACGGTAGAGAGAGGAGATAGGACTCCACCTCAGAGTGTAGCCAAGACCAGAGTTGGGCCACTAGAGGTCATGGGACTCCGGACTGTTGAAGTATGAAAAGAGAGCCTTGGACAGCCTGGCCTCGGCTTCTCATATGCTCCTGACGTGGGGGTAGTGGGGACAAAAGTGAAAGGATGACCCCTGGACCCTTCGATCAGTCCCCAGTCCACTCTCTGAGGATGGGCCCACTGGCATGAGCAGTGGGGACCATGGGAAGCCACAGCTGGGTGAGAAGGGCTGAAGTTGAGAGTGGTCCACGAGAAGGGGTGGTGGTGGCAGGGCACTGACCTCAGGTGGAGGATAGAGTCACTTCAGTCTGCAAGTGGCCCAGTGATGCCCAGGGCCCCTTCTGCCACAAGACAGGAACCTGGCCTCCCGCACTCTCAGGGATGTTGGGCAGGGCAACGACCCCACACCCTAGCGCTCAAATGGGAGCATCGAAAGACAGCAAAGGCAAGGTGCCCCCGGGGACCCCAGGGAAAGAGGTTGCAAGAAGAAAAGCAAGATGGATGTTCAGCTTTCCGACCTAGCTCATGGAGCTTTATTCAGAATGGAGTGACAAGATCCTGCTTGGTTCTTGCTGCCCTTGAAGGGATAGGCCCAGCTTGGCCATATTCCCTAGGAACCCAGTGCTGAAGGCCCATGTTTGCCCTCCCACTTCCTTCAAAACTCCTAACACCAGGGCTGGGGCCTACCTGGAACCCCTTTTCAGAACTCATACTCACCTGGACGTTACCCTCTTCCCATCCATCCCACCACTCCTGTTGCCAGGCCCAGGCAGGACCCACGAATGATGAGGCTGACACAGGGATATTCCCTGGGCTGGGAACTCCCTGCCAGCTTCAAGGGAACACTGTCTGATGACAGAGAGAAATCTCACATCTGTCATAGTCCCTCTGCCACACACACACAGACGTGCACACACGCTCTCACTCAGGCTTTCAGGGAAGGAAGTGATGTCGCAGAGTGGCCTTTGGCACATGTCACCACTTTCAGGCTAAAAGGGCAGCTTGCACAAGGGGCCCTCAATCATCACTGTCTACAGCAATTGCTCCGTGGCCCAACTACATATGGATGGCCTCTTTCTTGGCTGAGTACAGCCCTGCTCAGGGGCAGGTTACCCATGCTGCTATTGCTTCTGGTTGCCCCCAAACAAATCCTCACTGAATTCTGAGGTCCCAGGGCTTCCCTTGTTGGAAAAGTCACGACAAGGTTCCACTTGCCTCAACCAGCCTACAGCTCCTCGACAGGGGAAGACAGAGTCTGACACAACAGCCACCCCACGTCCCAGAGAGAGGAGGAGGGAAGACATCTCACCCCCCAGGGCTCATCTGTGGCACCAGTCAGAGCTCTTCAGCTCTTCCACAGAGTGTACCAGGCTTGAGCCCCACAGAAGGAAGGAAAGGGGAGAGGGTGGGCTGAGGCTCTCAGCCAGAGGTGAGAAGGCTCCTTTAAACCAAAACTGTTGCAACTCGGCTCCCACCCTGCTCAAGCAGGGAGGGTGAGGCCTGGAGGAGTTGGGGCAATTCCTATGCTCCACAATATAAAAGGTTTTTAAATATATTCATCAAAATAGTTTTCTTTTAAAAAGCCCCCACTGCTGACAGCCCCACTGGCTGGCTCTCCATCATATCCCTCCCCAGCCCGGACACAGCCGGAGGGTCCTGAGTAGCCCAAGTGCCCTCTGAGTCTTTCCCACCAAGAGGTCTTGGAGGGCAGGGAGGAGATGCCCTGAGGCCCATGGCGGGAGGATGCTTCTTCCTGACTACTCCAAGCCCAGGATGTAGTTGATGCCTTGCACCAGGCCGATGATGACAGGCTGCCAGGCCACCAAGTATCGGAGCCAATCTAGCAGTTGCCCATACATGACATGAGGCCTCTCCCAGCTGTCAGCATGTTAAAGAAAAGAGCCGTGTGTTAGAGCCTGCTAAGGGTGATCTAGGGGATGGGTGAGAGGGTCTGCCCACACTTTCCAGCTGCTCCACAGAAATCAGCCGACAGGGAAAGGAAGCTGCTTTCTGGAGAGCCCCACCCAGCCTCCCCATGTTGGAATGAAGATGACAGGGCAGAGGGGACCAGTGCAGAAGACAGGACAGACATGGGATGGGGTGGAGAGGTGAAACTAAGCTCTCCGTGACCAACATGCAGAGAGGGCCTCCCGTGTAACACCTTCTTTAAGACAGGACCGCCAGTGTGAGAGAAGACAGCCTGGGACTGCTGTAAATGGATCTGTGACAAGGGCTGCAGGGAGGCTGGCAGTGGGATAAGGTAACCCAAAGGTTCTGGTAACATCCCAGATGGAAGGTTTTCTAGGGCAAAGAAGGGGTTGAGTCTAGAGACAGAGGCAGAAGGGAACAAGGAGCAAGAGGCTAGTCACAGGGGAAGACCCCTGGCAGAGGACCCAAGGAATCCCCCCCAGGGGCACTAAGCACTCAGCCCTCCTGCAGCCAAGCAGCCCTGGAGATGAGTTCCGTTCCTCTTGCTTTACAGCTAACTGCTGGGCAAGACATCTGGAGAGGGAGCCTGGGACTCCAGCTCTGAGGAAAGCACCAGTTGAACCTCATGAGACTGTAGGGGAACCCCTTCAAAGGCATCAGAAAGACCAGGCTGGCCTAGTCCCCGAGAACTAAGGGAAGCCCCAAGCCTCAGCCTGGCCGCGGACTTACATAACTGTTCCTAAATTAGACCCTGGAAGAACCAAGCAAGGAACTCCTTAAAGGAGACGGGCCAGAGTCTCCTGTTCAGGGACTGTGAGAATGTGCTGAGAATGCAGTGGCCCCTGCACAGCCCAGCTAGTGCCCAGGGGACAGGGAACCCTAGTGCAGACCTAGGGCCACTGGGAGAGGAGAGGAGAGGAGAGGAGAGGAGAGGGGAGAAAGCTGGGTCCCCGGATCCCAGGGAAAGTGAAGGGGGGCCAGAGAAGTGGCTGGGTACTTTCCAACAAACAGGCTGTGAGGAGGAAGACGAGGGTGACGGCAAAGTGGGGAGGGCTGGCAGGGTAGGAAGTGGTAGCGCAGAGCAGCACAAGTCCTGTGTTGAAGGTGGATGGGGACAGGGAACCCTCAGCCATCGCCACACCTTGCAGGCCCTGCACAGGCACAGAGCTGGTCTCCAGCCCGGCATGTCACAGGTAGGGCATCGCCCATTAGTTATGTAACCTTGAACAAGTTACTCAACCTCTAAATAGTTTCATTTGTAAACTGAGGATATTACCCAGGTCATAATCCTGCTAGAGAATCAAATGAGATAATACGATAAAGTACTTAACACAGTGCCAGGTTCACGGTAAGCGAGTAGTACACGGCAGCTGCTATTACTACCAATTTACCGTTGGGGGATCTAGAACTATGATGAGAAGCTGAGCTGCTAGTCCTGCCCCATGTTCCACCCCAACTTCCCTAGACAAGCCAAGTAGAATGTGGACATGTACCACGTTGGGGGCAGGAGGGAGGGCCCCAGGAGGACTCAAATGAAGGGTCACGTTGGCCAATACTTTCTTCCCACTGCCGACTCCCAATAAGAACCAAAACAAAGGATACGGGTTGCTGAACATCCTCTTGAGGTCTACCTTCTCTTTGCAGTAGGGACACGTCTGCTTCTTTCCCACAATGCACCAGCCGCGGATGCAGAACTCATGGAATCTGAGTACCACTGGTCAAGGGAAATGGTGGGCAGCCAGGATGGTACTCCAGCCCTGTGCCCGTCTTCAAGGTGCCTATGCGCTAGCTCTGGAGAAAGGTCAAAGCCTGGCTTCACCTCTTATCAGCTGTATAATCTTGGGCAAGTCCCTTCTCTCTGTACCTGTTTCCTCATATGTGAAGTGAGGACAGTAACATCTATCTTACAGGGTTGTTATGCGGCAAAATAGAGATAATATAATAGATGGCACAGAAGGGGAGCTGAGTAAGTACATGATAAAATACCAGAAGTGTTATTCAGGGGGATTTGATTCTGCAATTGAGGGATCCAGTTAGAGGATGCTCCTACCCTGTGACTGATCCAATTCTGGGATAGCTAGTGCAGCTTCAGGCTCCTTTCTGATCCAGCCAGGCTACAAATACTGTTTACATAAGTCTCCCATCTGTGGGAAAGAGCGAGGAAGGCTGCAGTTTCCACTCCTGGGTGTTGGCTTCTCTAGCAAGGACATCACCCAAATGTCTGCCCTCTTGTGACTCTCCTACACTCAAAGGTCTGGACAGCATGCCCCCTTCCCTCCCTGACTGGGAGTACATATGTCAGGAGAGATGTGGCCCAGGAGCTCCAGGCAGGATACACGTGATTGCAAGACAGCCTATATGTGTTCTCGATGATGCCCTCTTCACTGACATCCACAAAGATCTGCTGCCCACACACGGCACACACGCTGTCCGAGAGGTGTTTGGTAGGCATGCCCGACTCGCTGTAGAACTGGGAGAGAAGAGCAGAAGGAAAAGACAGGGAAGATGTGAGAATGAGCCAAAGTGGGAAGGTACCACAGAGGCCTCAGGTCTTCTGGAGAGGAGGCAAAATGGCAGAGGGAGGTCCCAGAGCTGGAGAACATCTTTTATATGCCAAATCAACCTCATCTTTGCTGGGTGGATGGGGAGAAAGGGACAGACTGGAGATGGATCTGGAAATCAGATCTAACAGGACCTGAAGACTGGGATAGGTCAGCATCAGGGACAAGGAGAGTGGAAGGGAGAAGTGCTCAGGGTGGTGATCAGGAGCTATGTCAGGAAAGCCACTCTGTGCCCAGACCATGGTTCCATCAGAGATGGATAACATTACTTCTCCAAGATTCAAAACACTGAAATATCTGGTGCAGTACTGGTTTGGTGACAAGGGCATTCTCAGACACTTGTGGCAGCAGCAAAAGAGGTTCAATCCTTTTGGATAGCATTTGGCATGATGTCTCAAACTGTCATATCCTTTAACCCACTAAGTTCACTTCAAGGAATAAGTAGAAATGTCAAAAAAGCTTCATGCATAAAGATATTCATTTAAGTGTTATTTATAATTAAAGCAGCAACGAGTTTGGCAATTCCTCAAAAAGTTAAACATAGAATTACCATATGCACAGCAATTCCATTCTTAGGGTATATACCCCCAAAAATGAAAACATGGACTAAACACACACTTGTACGTCAATGCTCATAGCAGCATTATTCACAACAGCCAAAAGGTGGAAACAACCCAAGTGTTCATCAATAGGTAAATGGATAAACAAAATGTGGTATATCCATATAAAGGAATATTATTCAGTCATAAAAAAAATGAAGTTCTGATACATGCGACAACATGCATCAACCCTGAGAACATGCTAAGTGAAATAAGTCAGACACAAAAGGACAAATTATGTTATGTTATGTTATGAATATGTTATGATTCCATTTAGGTAAAATATCTAGAATAGGCAAATTCATAGAGACAGAAAGTAGGTTAGAAGTAACCAGGGGTTGAGGGGGAGGGAATGGGGAGTTATTGCTTAACAGGCACAGAGTTTCTGTCTGGGGTGATCAAAATGTCCTGGAAATGGATAGTGGTGATAGTTGCACAACATTGTGAATGTAATGAATGCACTGAATTGTACACTTAAAAATGGCTAAAATGGTGAATTTTATGTTACATAAAATTTTACAACAAAAAAAATAGTATTAAAAAAAGCAAAGAAATGGAAATAATCATAAATGACCAACAACAGAAGAATGCCTAAATAAACGATGGTACACGCTCAACGGACTAAACAGGCAGCCAGTTGACTGAAGCTTGAGATATAACATCATCAAAAGCAGGGTACAAAACTGGAGGCACAGTATGACTGGCAGCACATGTAAAGACGAGCCCAAATCTATACAAAGGAAAAAGATCAAAACGAGATACATCAGAATGTTCACACCAGTGATGTTTCAGTAGTAGGATTATAGATGACTTTTTCCTTTGGCCACTTTTTTGGGCTCAAATTTTCCTTAATGAATACATATTACTTAGATTATTTATTATCATGGTTAATTACAACACATAGGGCCGGCCCTGTGGCTTAGCGGTTAAGTGCGCGCGCTCTGATACTGGTGGCCCGGGGTTCGGATCCCGGGCGCGCACAGGCGCACCGCTTTTCTGGCCATGCTGAGGCCGGGTCCCACATACAGCAATTGGAAGGATGTGCAGCTATAACATACAACTGTCTACTGGGGCTTTGGGGGAAAAAATAAATAAATAAAATTAAAAAAAAAAAAATTACAACACATAACAAATTCCATGCTCCAAAAAGAAATTCGGAATTTGGCATACTTTCCCTGTGATTTATAGCTACATAACATTTCCCCTCACCCCAAGGAAAAAAGACTTGAAATTTATTTACTGATATTTTCTAAGACCTAATGTTTTTTCTTTTCATTGTCTTAAAAACTATGGTAAAATACACAATATAAAATTTACCATCTTAACTATTTTTGAATGTACAGTTCAGTAGTGTTAAGTATATTCACGTTGTTGTGCAACTAATCTCCAGAACTTTTCCATCTTGCAAAACCGTATAATACATTTTTTAAAAGCCTTCTGCATTTATTATTACAACCTTCTCTGTGTCTATAAGGTAGATTAACTGTACTTAGCCCTTTTGTACTTTCTCAACTTGAGTTTGCTCTATTTTTTCTTTTGTTTCCAGGCAATTGTCTTCTGAAAAAAACGGAAGCCCTGAAGCTGGGTGAGGGATAGCAGTGGAGGAGGGGAGGGCACACAGGTGCTGGGACAGGGAGTAAGGGAGGATGAGGCGAGGATACCCAGAGAGACACAGCTAGGTCTGCCAGAACCCTCTTGCAGCCTGGGGGCTTCCTTCACTCCAAGCTGCCCTTCTGAGGAATGGCCTCTCTTCGCCATCAGAACCGCTACCTGATCCCAAGATTCCTCAAGGGCAGAATGCAGAGAGTCACACTGCCCCAAGAATCCACGAATACAGAGCTTCCTGCCTTCACCCCCACCTCACCCTCTTGCAAAACCATCTGAAGTGGCTCAAGGTGAGCTCACTTACTATCACAGAACACCAGAGCAGCCCTGTCACTGGGGAAACCAAAGCCCAGAGAAGGAAAGAAATAAGCTGGGAACAGAACTGAGACCCTCTGACTCCAACCCAAGTTCTACCAAGTCATTCCATCAACATTTGCTGAATGCTGCAAACAGATCAGCTACTTAGCTCACCGACGGATATTCAAAAGGTTCTGATTTGTTTATCAAGAGGGCAAAAGGCAGTGGAAAGGGATAAGCTTGAGTCAGAGGGCAGGGCCAAGACCTGTGGGAGTGCACTAACTGCAACGCTCCAAAGCTGGGATCCTAGAATGTCAGTGTCGGGAGGAACCTCTGAGAAACACCTCTCCAGAGCTCAACAGGCTGACAGCTCTGACGTGTTCCAGCTTGGATTATCTAGGCACATCAACTGAGCAGAGAGAGGCAAGACCAAGAGGTGTGGATCCAACTCTGGCACTGAGTCCCTATACAACTGTGTAGCACATAAACATGACCACTCACTCTGGCCCACAGCATTGGCAGTAAAAGAAGTTAGAGAAGAAAAAGTTAGAGCCCTGAGGAACAGCTTTACCTCAAATCATCCCAGAGTTCCGCCCCAGGACCCTGGGGCAAAGGATCCAGGGTCAAAGGGAACTTGGATGAGGTAATGACAATAGGAGGGCAGTCCAGGAAAATGTCCGTTAGGCCCCTAGTTTCTGGAGTTCTCCCCACAAGGCTAATGTGGCAACAGGCAGGCAGGGTCAAATCTCACAATGTTTCAATAAAGTCATCAGGTAAACCTGTCAAGCCAGGAAGGCCCCAGCAATGCCAGGGTTCACAGAAACCACACAGGGGGAGACTGAGGAGCACTGAGACTGAGTTGGGCAAAGTAGAGAGAGGTGGATTTCAGTTTAACCCCTACGCCTGATCCCCAGTGGAAAGGGCTCAAGGGGCCATATGGTTTGTCAGGATTACACAGACCTAATTTCAATCCTGTCACTTACTATCTTAACGACCTTGAGCAAGCCACCCAAACTCTTCCTTCCATCACAATATACTGGGCACCTACTAAGTACCAGCCACTGGACTAGGTCCTTGGGATATAATGCTGGAAAAACACAGACCTGGCCTCCATCCTCATGCAACCTACAGCTAGGGGAGACTGACACTAAAAAAATAAATGTTTACATAAGAACTAATTATTAAAAATGCTAAAAATAAGAACTAACTGTTAAAAAGGCATTAAAAGAGCTATGAAAAAACACTGCAGTGAAAGGGGTTCCTAACTAAGCCTAGGTCATCTGAGAAGGCTTCTTCCAGGGAGCGACATTTTAGGCTGAGAGATAAAGGATGGAGTTAGCAAGATGAAGAAAGGCAGAAAGAGAGGCCCTGAGGCAGGGAGGAGCTTGGTGCACTTGAGATACGGAAAGGAAACTAATGTGGCTAGAGGGTTGTGAGAAAGAGGAAAGCAGTAAAACCTTACTGGCCACATAAAGAATTCTGAACTTGAAACAGGAAGTCATCCACAGGCTTTATTTAAGTAAGGAGTAACATGATCAGACTCAAATTTTTAAAAGATCACTCTGTCTTCTGTGTGAAAAATAGATTGGAGATGAGGCCAACTTAGATTCAGAGGGACCAGCTAAGAGACAATTACAATTCTTTAAAAGCTACAGATGATGGAAGCCTGTGTTAAAGACTTGGCTTAGGCTAATTTGATGGCAGTAAAAACTGACAGAAGTGGACAGACTGATGATGCCAAATAGACAGCTATCGGATAGTAAAGGTCTGAAGCTCAGAAACAAGATTTGGATTAGAGATCTGGAAGCCATAGAAAAATAAAAGGGAAATACCTAGATGAAGAGCAGAGGAGATGGCTTAGGCTTGAGCTCAGGGGAACAATAACATTTAAGGGGAGGAAAGTTAGTAGAAGAGACAGAAAATATCAGAGAGACAGAAAGAAAACCAGGACAGGGTAATGTCACAAAAGCCAAGAGGGAGAAACTTTTTTTTTTCTTTTAATTTAGTTTTTTTGAGGGAGATTGGCCCTGCATTAACATCTGTTGCCAATCTTCCTCTTTTTTTCTCCCCAAAGCCCCAATACATAGTTGTGTATCATAGTTGTAGAGTTGTAGCTCTTCTATATGGGATGCCGCTTCAGCATGGCTTGATGAGCGGTGAGTAGGTCGACGCCCAGGATCTGAACCAGCGAACCCTGGGCCACAGAAGCAGAACGTGTGAACTTAACCGCTACGCCACTGGGCAGGCCCCGGAGAAACATTTTGTGTGTGTGTGTGAGGAAGATCAGCCCCTTCCTCCTCTTTTTGCTGAGGAAGATTGGCCCTGGGTTAACATCCATGCCTGTCTTCTTCTACTTCTACTTCTTACTTTATATGGGACGCCGCCACAGCATGGCTTGACAAGCAGCG